TATATATTCCCGCGGCATTCCTTTGGGAGGCTTCACGGTCAACTGAATGAAAAGCTCCTTCAAGCTCAAGGAACACTGCGGTTGTTGGTCGACAACGGATGTGACGCAATTCATGAACCTGACTGAGTGAAAATTCGGCTGATGCAACCGCGACCTGGTCGGAATCCTACTTGCTGTTCGAGGATATTCTTCTCCATTGAGGGTGTCAGACGGCCAATTATCACTGAAGTTAACAATTTTGTGATGATCAGAACTAAACCTATTCCGCTTTGGTTTGCGTAGTCGCTGTGTGTTCCCTTGTGGAATAACGGGACGATCAGTGATCCACCCCAAGATAAATAGATGCGCCTCTTCGAGCAAATACTGCGAAGCAATCGACTCGACGAGGCGGTCAACCTCCAGCTTAAAAAAGATGGGGGAGCCCATCAAGTTTCACTGATCAACAACAACTGTGGAGGTGGGACCTACTTTGTCGCGAGCCAAATTCTCCCTACATCAGGCAAACCACCGCAAAAGAGCTACCGACAACACCGATAACCACGATACAATATCAGTGACAGTTGCAAATAAGCCTTCGAAGTGGGGCTCTCTAGTGGCCTATCAGTTTAACCACCAGACGAATGACTCAGTGCACATTAAAAAAATCAAGACAGCTCTGTAAATATCGACAAGAACATCGCCGGAGGCTCAAAGCACAAACGATGGATCTCGTCGATTTCGGCTGCTCTGCTGGAGGCCCGCTAAAACCTTCCTCCTAATGCGCGCTGAGCAGGAGTCTGAGGAATGATCACGATGTGATCGGTAGGAACGTGTAGAGAGCTGGAGAAAGCTGTGGCTAATAAGTATAAGGGCCCAAGGAAAATAGGCGTGAGGCAATAGAGGAGGCTGACGGCACACCAGTCTGCAGTCAGCAACGCCGTCTTGAATAACTTGTGGCTAAGTTGAAATGGCTCCGAATGATATACGGCCAATCACCACAACCACGACTGGGCAAATACAACTCCAGTTGATGTCAGTCCTCCTTGTAGAATGGAGGTTTCTTGGAAAGTACGGTACATTCAAATTCATTGTGGATGTGCAAGTATTCCCAACATCGCGCATCGATTTCTATGTAAATAGGTTCGATTTCGGTTTCGGTTGCCCCGTATTGGTCTACCGATGATTCGTAATTCGTTGTGGTGCTATCACCTGTCTCTGTATACAGAGAAAATCTGGGAATAAATCGATATATATATATATATATATATATATCGTTTTACAGGGTCATTCCATCCTCGTTTTTTTAGATGCGACTGTCGCCAGTGGAAACTATCAGGTCTAAAACAGACACACATACATGTATTTATTCACATCATTCTGTTCTAAAGTTGTATCTGAATAGGAATTCGTCTTACGTATTTAGGAGGGCAGTTACTCGTCATTCCGGATATCAAGACAAGGACTATAGACAATAATTTAACGAAGAGGTTAAAATATATGTGGTTATTCGTATCTGACAACAATTTATCGGAAGTAGCAGTTGTTCACGATCGACTTTTGAAATTAGTCGGAATAGAGCCGAATTTTCAAAATGGTTTGAACTGTGGTTAAGAGAACGACTTGACGCGTGTCTGTAAGGGAGGGAGGGAGGGGGAGAGAACAAACGCGATACAGTTGGGCCGGAAAGACATACAGAGTTGCACATTATCCGTTGGTGAAGCTGGGACAAGGAACCATCATGTTCCG